CACTAGAGTTCGTTTCTCCTTTTGGTACGGTTGGTTTGGGCAGGTGAGAATGCAGCAATCATACTCGAGTGCGCACGAAAAGCGGACCAAATAAGCATACCGAGACCTGCTTGAAGAGGTGGTCTCGATATGCTTTCAAACGAACCCTGGAGCGGTTCGTTTGTGGTGAGAACATGATCCGTACTAAAACAGGTCCAACCTCAAAAAGTTCTGCGCGTTTTGGACTAATTCAGCTGCCGTAGGCTGATGCGCTGTGCATTATGGGATATGGATGAAAAATATTTGTTGACAGCGCTTTACCAACAGAGAGAGAGAGAGAGGGGAAAACATTACCTGATGGATCGTTGGTAATATTTCCGCAAGATGACCATGTTGCAGTTTAGCTATAATAATTCACGGCTCCTCCTGAAGTGACGATTGATGCATTAAACATTGTTTTCCAGCCGCGGCCGCGCTTCATTTTCGTAATGTATAGTTTGTCTAAAGCAGGGATACAATCAGCCAGCGCAGTCGTCCCTCCAGAGTTAAAGGTTTTGTTAACCTGCGGGAATTCACTGGCATTTTCCCGCACGTGAATTCTGACCAATCAATAAGCAGTTTAGGAAAAATGTTTAACAACATCTGGCCAATGAGAGATGTGGATTTTGTCAAATGACTGCATTTTGGTTCGTTTCAACTGGTTCGGACCAAAGCCAGCAGTGTGGTGTGAAAACGACCCAAAGACGGCAGACGATGCAACAATGTATCATTTATTGCGCTTGGTCCGGACCAGATGAAGCAAACTACAGATGTGAAAGCACCCTAAGATGCGATTTGTTTTCAGTTTATTGGCGCGACTCAAGCGAGTAATGCCCTGCTCTTTTTGTTGCAAGTGCAGTCATTGTATCTCCACTGTTTTAAGCTGATGTGATGCGTTCATATCTAGTGTCTCATCCAACCGTATGACCTCTCCCGGAAGCTCCGCGATTCTCCCGCAAATTTATACCAGCCCTGTGATCTCCAAAATAAGTTAAAATACTCGAAAATCATAGCGACGAGTGCAAATCCCTCTCTTCATAAGGCATCTGCTGTCAATAGTTGGAGACAAGCAATATGTTTAAATGGTCTTGCATGTATTTAGGCCTTTTTACATTTAACAATTGAAAGTTCTGTTTGAACAATATTGCAAGTTCACTAAAAGCTGGCTGGAATTATTAGATAAATACAACTTTTTTATGTTTTAACATGAATATTTAATAATATAAATTTTTATTAATAAAAACTATTTTTATATCTGTGTTATATTATTTTCTGTGGCAGTTCATTCCGCTGTGACGACCACTGATAAATAAGGGACTAAGGCAGAGTAAAATAAATGAATGAATTATTTCCTGTAAAGCTGTAAAATGTGCTTATTAATCCATAATAAAGTGTGCAGCATTAGAATCAGTACTCCGTATCAGCCAATCACCATCACAAGAAATCAGTATTCTGTATCGGCTGCAAAAATCCTGATCGGAGCATCCTTAGCTTTAACACAACTTGGCTGTCAGAGCAGCAATACTCCCTCTGGTTGTACAAAACTGATCTTAGTAAGTCAGTAAATACAACCTTAGGAAAAAGAAGTATACTAAAGTAAAGGTCAATTATAAAAGTATACTTTATTTAATAAGTATACTAACATCAATGTACTAGTAGTGTACTTGAAATGTGGATAAAAAAAGATAAAAATAAATGTTAATTTTTAGCTTGTAAAAAAAGTTGTCTACTGCTGTCATTAAAATAAACAAATTAACACCATGACTCCTTGTGTTGGTGTGTCGGCACCCCAATACCCCCTCAGCCCTTCTTGGGTAAACACTGTGATGCATCACAGACTATTTGTTTGGCATGTCTTAATGTGTTCTGTTCATAAATATGCTGCAGTGACATCTGTTCTGATACATCAATTATTTTACATGCAATGTGAATCAAACGGACTACTTTAGATCTCAGCTGCACAGTCAAGTAGCCAAACCAAGCTGTGATGCATACCTGCGTAACTGTGACCAGGCATTAAACATAATTGAACTGTGACTTTATACACCAGAAGCCGTTGGTCTTAAAACCAGCAGTTTTTTGAGTCATTTAGTAAGGTAACACCTTAACCAAGCTGCTCTTGATTTGCAATGCTGCTAGCAAATGACAGGAAGTGTAGGGCTGCTAGGCATGGCTCATAGATGTGTGGCTTTCTAATGACTTCAGATGCTTGTCACTGTGCCAGACAAGTGGGGTAGATTTCTCTGTGGTGTCCGCCTAAAATGAATGACCTTCTCCGCATTACATCATCCTTTGTTATGGCCAGATAGACCAATATGAGGACAAATGGATTAGTTAGGCCTATCAGGGAGTGGATTGATGAATGGGACAATTAAACTTTGGATACATTGTAGATCTTGATAATACAGACAGTGGTGTAAACTGTAGTGGGCTGGACTGCTTTGTGTTATAACACTACATCAGTCAGAGTTTAATGTGAAAATGACTAGGGATGAACTGAATTTCTGTCTGCCAAAAAATTATCATATGAAAATGTCTTTTTTGTTGCTTTTTTTCCAAAAATATGAGCTGAAAAAAAGACTGCCAATTGTGTTCACTGTGCTTTTACTCATCCTGTGGTCAATGATTCAAAATAGCTCAATATCCTGATATTTCAAGTGCATCCAGAAATTTTATTTCACTACATCCCTAAAAATGACATTAACTTTGAGAAATTGACATGCTGAAATGAAATTCGGCTAATGTGCTGTTACTTATGTGGTGTTTGCCTCCCTTTTCAAAGATTGTGCCTCCTCAGACTTTTATTGTGCTTGTCAGGGAGGCACAGTTGTGTGTAGTAAAGATCTCCCAAAGGCCCGAGGGTGCTGAAACTCCAAACATGAATAAACCCAGGAAATCATCATAGCGTTTTATTATGAAGAGTGAACTGCTTTCATTGATTCAGCATGACTAATAATCATATGATTACAGAATTATCTCACGGAAGGATTTAATTTAAACCTTCAAACGATGTTAGAAAGTGAGTGTAGAATAAAAATATGCTATTAAATGTTGCATTTTCATGAGCTGTATTTAATACAAAGAGCCGTAGTTCACTGTAAAGTGGCACAAATGCAAAAAGCAGTCATTATAACAACTATTATCTTGATTTCATAATTGTCCAATTAAATTGATATCGATTTTAAACATGATTTGGCATAGCTTGTCACTAGCTATATTTCCATCTAAAAATGCTAATTAAATGTATGCGCAAAACAGAAGTATTGCATAAAAGACATGCGAATAAAGTAGCATTTCCATCCAATTAGTCAAAGAGAACAATATCTTCACTTCATGATTATCTGGCTGGGCTCGAAATTAACCTTTTTGCTTGGTAGCACTGGTGATCCTAACTTAAAAAATTTAGGTGCATCAGCCATAATTTAGTCACACTTATAAGCACAGTTACTAGTGTTATACAAACATATGTATTGCATTTGAAATCAGTAGTAATCAAACTAACAAGCAAAAAAAAAATATATATGCAAGCGTGAGAAAAATATGTCTAAACAGAATCACAAGAAAATAGATTTTTATAACATAACTGAGTGACCAAAAGGTACACTGAGCGCTCACCGGCCCTGCACGCACTGCTTGACATGAATGAATCTGTTAACGATATAACTGTGCTGTTCTCACGGGCTTGTCTAATATTGCACTGATGTTTTTGACATATACTGTACTTTATTACATGCATATGTCATGTTAATAGCAATACTTTTCATGAGGCGATATTGGTTTACTCAGTGTAAGCCGGTTTGCGATGGTGTACGTGGTGTTAAATTTGACAAATAGCTGACAGCGTCTGGCGATTATATGAAAGATTAAACAGAAGCTCTCGTGCTAGATGGGGCAAACAGTTACCTGAAAATTCCATCCCACAGACTTTTCATAGCGGACTTGAAGCCAATGGAAGTCTATTTGAAAAGTGTAGATGATGGATTAAGATTCAGCACATGATTACTACTAAGATGTGTCATTATTTGTAACTTTAGATGCCATGGTTTCTAAAACAAAATCTGTCCGTGTTATCTTCATTCTCATCTTCAGCACTTTAGTTTTTCGTGGTAATAGCTCTCTGTTTCTTGCTGCAAGTTGACATGACAACTGTTTTAAACCATTCCTGAGTGCTGCGTTTCAAGTGCAGAGATGCATTCTGCGTAAATGTCTCTAAAATGCGCGCATGCGGTGAACATTTTGCTGTAAAAACTGGTCGCACACAACAATTTTTAGCACTCGCACACATGCTCCCAAATATATTTTGAGGTCGCATAGGTAAAATTTCGGGTGCATATGCGACCAAAATGGTTGCAATTTCGAGCCCTGCCTGGCGCAAAATATCAACAGTACAAACTGAATTTGCTGAGGTAGGAGAAGCTGCGTGAATCTTTTCCTTATTTAATAAATGAATTGTGCCTCAGAAGACGATGCTGACATCGTCATTTTGAAGACGCTCTTGACAATTCTGAAGGTCGTTAGTAATATGACAACACTAATACAGAAATGGCGTTAAGGCGTTTTCGAATGACCAAAACAACAATTCAGATGTTTTGCAATGTGGTTAGTCTGCTGGTTTGTCCATTCACACACATTTTATCATCACATGATCTCTTAAAACAAAAACACATGCTTTTTTGTTTTTCTTTAATGCGCACACTGGAATTTGTTTGGTAAAAATGTTTCCACCGTAGTTCATGTGCATGTTTTCTTATCAAGTAAAAGTTTATCCTACTCAGTTATGCCCATATGTTTCTTATACGCATTTTCAAAATGTATGCGCATCACAGCGTTTCCATTAACCGATTTATTTATTTATTTTTATTTTTTAATGCGCATATCCAAAATGCAAATAAAAATTGGTGGATGCCACAATCTTTTTTCTTTTTTCCCTTTAATTGGTGTATTTCTCCTAAATGTTTTTCTGTGTTTTTATCTTTTTGCAGACAGATACTCTGGATGGGGCCTTTCCAGTGCCTGACATCAAACTCCACAGCAATCCCTCTGCATTCAATGTCTACTGTAATGTACGGCACTGCGTGCTGGATTGGCAGCAGAAAGAGGCCGCATTGGCCCTCGCCTCTCGAAACTCTGTGCAGAGCGGTGACTCTGACAGTGAGGAAGAGGAGGAGTACCGCGAACCTTTTGTCAAACTGCCGAAGGTAAGTGTAAGGACCACAATAAGTATATGAAGCACCATTTAAAGGGGCCATATTATGCCCCTTTTTACTAGAGTTAAAATAAATGATAATACCCCACAAATTATTTTTGGTAAATCTTGGAAACTGCCCCTTTTAAGGCTTTTATCCAAAATGTGCCATTTTGGTTGCTGTTGCTTTAAATTCAAAAGTGATTGTGCTTCCTGCCTTCTTCTCAAAATGGGCATAGCTATAAACTTGTGTCAGCAGACTTTTTTGGCTAAGATAGTCTATAGTAGGGTTGTCATGGTCCCAAAAATGTAGGTCTTGATACTATAGAGGACTTACCAACCTACGTCACACATGATGTCACACGCCTTCTTGGTTGCAAAAACAGACTGGGTGCAATAGCAAACATGTTGTGTTGTGCGGTAGGATGCCAAATTCGACTTAACTTTTACCATGCACCACACTGCTTTTAATGCCACTGCATTGGCTAAATTGAGATGGATGGAGTGGGGAGCTAATTAAAAATGCTCACCTCTGCAGTTCTCATTTCATATCAGGTAAGTTCACGCTATGCTCAATCATGTACATGTAAAAATGTAAGTTCACATACCCTGCCATACAGGTGCACTTCGCTGTCAGAATGCAGTTGTTTTGCTGGTTGATGATTACCCAGGCCTTGGACCGTTCCATCTTCTTTCCTTGTCTTTGGCTAGGCAGAACCTTGGTTTGTAGCACTACCACTAATCTGGTAATCATGGCACTTTATTTCTTGCACATGACTACGCGGAACAAAATTGTCATCCAAAGACATGTAGGCCTTTAACTTCTCTCTTGTAAAATTACTTTTAATTAGATAGTTGTATATTTCGGGCTGGATGCTTTCCTCCTTCTAGGACATGTACAAAGAGAATATCTCAATCAAAGTGTTTTTCTGCAGACTTTTTTTTATCAAGTGAGATTATAAAAAAATAGAGGTGATTAATTTGTACCCTAAGGGGCTGGCTATTTACACACTGTTGCCACACAACTGTGTTTAAATCCCTTATAAAAGTGATTTTTGCATAATAGGTTCCCTTTTACTTCTGTGTATTAAAGCAATTATACACAAAAAGTTGGGAATTAAACCACCTTAATTGTTCTGGCTAACAGAAAATAAGCATTGGATTAAGCTTTTTCCTTTTTGCTACTTGTAAAAAAAAAAAAAAACTAATAATTTTTGTCTTGATTTACAATTGTGGTCTTGATGTTTAACAATTGTTTAACATACAACAAATTTAATACTTAAGTTAAAATCTTAAGGTAGTAAAGTTTTGCTGTTTTGCTAATAAAAAATGTCAAAAAATTAGAAATTAACATTTGTGCTTCTCAAAGCAACACATTTATTTCATTTATAAATAAATATGTTTTTTTTACTAATCATTTGAATATGCAATTAAAATATGCCTTCATAAATACAGTCATTTGCTTGGATGTTTTAGTGTTATATTTATTTATTTATCCAGTCAAACCAGTCAAGGTGCCTGTGTAAAAAGAAAAAAAAAATGATTCCCATAAATGTACAATAAAATAGTGAGATAATACTTTTTTTCAGTGTCACACACCCCTACAGCAATTTTTAGTGGTACAATATACACATTGCTTTGTTAGGTTGTGTATGTTTTTATTGTATTTTTGAGATATTAAAATTAGTTATTTTTTGTATACAATTTTATTGTGATGTTTAAAATAAATAATAATAGCAAGTATTATTATTTTTGATTTTTGATTTTTTTACGTTTTATTCATTATTCATTTTGAAGTATCCCGAGTAGTGGAAGCAGAGCATGTTTTCTATTCAGCTCTGAAAAAATGGCCAAAGGGAGGCTCTGCCGTGTTATCCTATTAATATAACATTTTCCCTTCACATCACAGCCGAATGTGGAGAGCTGTCTGATTAATTCCAGTCTCCACTTCAAAGATCTTGTGCGTAGGCTATACCACCTAGAAGGAAGTGTGCAAAGGGTTGGGAATCACAAGAAAATGAATTAAAATCATAAGAAACGATAGCATTTTGGATGTGATTCAGTTTTACGATTGGGTTCCTTAACAATGACAGTTCAAAGTACTTTAAAACATACTAATTACATAGTCGTATAAACAAAAAATGCTGCATTTTAAGTATGGGTGCCCTGTCATGTTTCTTTAGATTCATCCTGCAAAGTGCAGCTCCAGGATTAAACACACCTGAACCAGCTAATTGTGATATTTAGAATCACAGGATTACAAACAGGCATGGAACTGAATGGGCTATATGCACGGCGAGTGTTTTTTAGCCACCGTTAAACGTTGAAATGTTTATGTGACTGTTTTAGGCATGGGATGATATTTTCAAGGTATACTGTGGTTTATTTTAGGACAACAGTATCTCCAAATACGCCGTTTTAAATTGTAAAGAAATCTGTGTTTTTGAAACAAATGAAGACAGCAGAAGTCAATGATTCATTTAAAACATGTCAGGCAATGATTTATTTAGCCTGACATGTTTACTGCTCCAAAATATTTTAAATGGGGAAAAATGTTTTAGTTTTTTTACCCAGACATTTAAAAAGAATATATTTTAAAGCATTAATCACATTACTACGATACTGTGAAACCGCAATATTTTTATCCAAGGTCATCATATCATCAGAATCTTATACCGGCCTATGCCTAGACTGTTTTCAATTTCACAAGACCTTTTACAGCATCGATAATGTAATTGAATGAGAATATAGTCAAGCATTAATTCAGTTGTTCAAGCATGAAATGAGTGCAATTTTGTTTAAAGTGCCATGATGAGCAGCAGGCGAGTGCAGAAAATCCATTGAAAAAGTCTTCTCCTTGCGTTCTCAGATGCTGTTTTTTTATTCTCAGAATGGTATAGGCGTTCAACAATTGTTTTGCTTTGTTTCATTTATTTATATATATTTATGTTTATTTTGCATATTTGGAGAAGGAACTTGATTTTATTTAAGGTTTAAAATGTAGATCATTAAACTTGACATGTGGTTTTTATACTTAAATAATTAATAGTTTCATACATTTATTATAATCAAAACAGCAAATAAAAAAGCATAATCAGTTGAAGTCAAAATTATTAGCCCTCCTGTAATTATGTTTTGTTTCATTCTTTTTTTCAAATATTTCCCAAATGATGTTGAACAAAGCAATGAATTTTCACCGTGTTTCCTATAATATTGTTTTTTCTGGAGAAAGTCTCTTATGTGTTATTTTGGCAAGAATAAAAGCAGTTTTACATTTTTAAAAAACTATTTTAAGGTCAGCAACTAGGGATGCTCAGATTAACTGTTAAACAAAAGGGTGTGTTTTTAACTAATTAATGGTATTGTTAACTATTAAAAATATTATTTTATATATTTTTAAAGTTGGGCTGCATAAGGGACCAATTACAGCGAACACTCTTATTGAATTGAGAGGCGCATCTGTTAAATGGTTTACTAATAGCTGCGAGTGATTTGTGTGCTGCTTATGCTCCCTGCAGGCCTCGCGTTTTTGTGCTTTTTCATTCTTTAATCAAATGAAAACAGAGCCAGGGTTTCCCTTGAGTGTGACATCAGTGTTTTTGTTGTCAAGACGATTACGGAGAACTGGTAAAGATGGAGAGAGACTAGTGGTCAATGTTTTAAGTTATCCAAAGCTGTATTACTTTACAAATCTTGACTATCACAATATGATTAAATATTACAATTATAACAACATTGACAGCAACACTCGTGCACATTACACAGCTGATTTAGTCATTTTTTTAGTGACATAAAAAAGCGCAACGTGCATTGTTTTTTCTTGTTAACAAAAAAGGTGTGGTGCGCCTTGCGTTTTTGCAACGGAAAAGCGCATTCGGTGTGATTGGCCGCACCAAACCGAGGCTTTCATTTTACAGCTTATGTAACATGTATGCAAATGAATGCAATATCATGTGTAAACAACAAAATTGCTATATGCTATAGTAGTCTACACTTTACAAAAAGTCAACATATGAGCCTCATAATTATGTTTCCATCCAAAAATGCGAATGAACTTTATGCGCAAAACTGGATTATCGCATAAAAGACGTGTGAATAAAGAAACGTTTCCATCCAACAAGACAAAGTGAACAAATCGTCAATTACTGATATTCTAGCGTCAAATATCAACATTAAAATTTAATTTGCTGTGGTAGGAGAAGCTGCGTGAATCTTTTCTTCATTTAATAAAGACTTGCGCCTCAAGCAGGTCGCACACCAGAAGCGCCGCAACACGGCGCGCACATGACAGTGTAAAGTATCGCACACCAGATGCGCACATTTGAATAATATTTAATATGAACTAATCAGATGGTGCTCTGTGGCGCTGCTGAAAAAAGAACTGCGTCCTGAGCCGTGGCCGGGCGCCGCCAACAGCCGCCGACTTACGGCGCCGGTGTGTGCATCCTGATATAAACCTATGTTTAGAATTCTAAAATGCATGGCGCTGTGTGGCGCGCCGCCGAGCGGCGCTTCTGCCGTGCGACCTGCTTCAGAAAGCAACCCTGATATACAGTGAGTGAACGCACGATGGCATTTGAAGACATGAGATGCGGAACACAGGCGCTCTTGACTCTGGAGGTTATTAATAAGATAATAACACTAATACTGAAACGGTTAAGGCATTTTAGAATGTCAAAACAACATTTCAGATGCTTTACAATGTGCTCAGCCTACTGTTTTTTTCATTCACACACATTTTTTATCATCACGTGATCTTTTATAACAGTTTATAATTGTCTTTTGTTTGTTCTGTAAAAGTGTTTCCATCGCAGTTTATGCTCATCTATTCTTATCGTATAAAAAGTTCCTACTTGGTTATTTGCATTTTCTTAATTTATGCGCATCATGCAGTTTCCGTCAACTGTTTTGTTTTTATGTGCATATCCAAAATGCACATAAAAATAGGTAGATAGAACGTAGCTATTGTCTTTCATCACACGCGAACACACATGAACTGCAAGTGAGAGAGGA